TCCAGAAATGGAGAACTTTGCAACCTTCAATGAGTGATAGAATGCCACGTGCCTCAGTTTCCCCAAATGTAAAGTGGGTTGTGAGGCTCTACAGGGCTCTTAAATAAGCATCACATGTCTCCACATCTATACAATATTTAGACTTGTGCCTAATACACAGTTGCTGGTGTGTGTGTGTGTGTGTGTGTGTGTGTGTGTGTGTGTGTGTGTAATATGTAAACTGGGGGAATGACAATCTATAGCATTGTTGTATTACATGTTTCCATGTTTTTGAAGCATCAGTCTGGTGACTAGCAAACATTCATTAATATATCAACATTATTTCTCTCCATAGGAACTTTCCCGTTGAGTAAGGAAAACGTGTTTCACCGGCCCACACTTACTGCTCTGTTCTCTCTCATGAAAGGAGGCTCAAATAACAGCAGCACACTCTTCCTCACTCCTTTCCCACGTCTTGCATTGATGTGTGACTCATCACCATTTCCCACTTTTACCTATTCCGCTCCTGGGGTGGGAGTGACAAACAAAACTAATTGTCCTTCCTAAAACTGGAGTCAACATCTGAAGTTGATGGCAAGTCTTTGTCTTATCTTTCCTTTTCGCAGAAGAACAATAGTTTCAAACGATAGCTTAGGCGTTCTTCGAAGAAGGCGCTCATACCAGCCACTTACCAGATGTCTCTGATAAATTTGCCCGTGTTCCACCAGACATTCAGCATGAGCTTGTAATTTTGCTCTGCCAATGCTGGTGTTTGCAGAACAACATCTAGAGAAACAGAAAATTTACTTTCAGCAACTGGTCTGACCTTAGGATGCATGGCTACCTTGCTGCTCATAGCAGGTCAGACATGGACAGAAATACTGAGCCCTTCCCTGGTTTCAGCCTTGAGAAGCAATGGGATTCATTCAAAGAACCATGTGTGGTCTGCCATGTGGAACACAGCATGGCCCAAATCCACTCTTCATACCCTTTACCTTTATGGGCCTCTCTTGGAACATGGCTCATGCTAACCACTGGACCTGCACTGCAGGTCCTACTCAGCTCACATGGAAGAAAAAGAAGGCACCACCATTACTATCCAATAGAATATGTTATCATAAAGCATCTTAGGACCTGAACTATGGGACTGGGGTCTGTGGGTAGATCCACTATATCAGAGGTCTCTAAGTCATGTTTTAGATTCCAGCCCGAGTTCACCACCTTCTCTGGCACATGTGTGCCTGTCCAGATGAGAGCAGCAGGAAATGACCCCTAAGCTTCCTCTTGCTCCAAGGTCTTCTGACCCTTGCCTACATTACATGAAATCAGAGACTAAATGCTTAATAGAGTGTAGTGAGTCTCAAGCGAGTTAGGATGCACCGATAAACCTGGGTGCCTGTAATAGAAGCAGACGGCGTGCCGACTCAGCTGTCTGCTTCTGAAGCTCTAAACTGGTCCATGGCTCAACGCCAAGTAACTACAAAGCGTCGTGCACGTCCGGAGCCGCTTCACAGCAATTCTGCTTCGCGCCCACCTCAGTCTGTCAGGAACATTCACATTTCCTGTGGCTTCGCTTAAAACTGCTCTTACTTTGTCTGTAAAGTGTTCCCAAAGCCCACAGAGAGCACAGATCCATCACCGGTAATAACAGGTACAGGAAACAAATATTTTAGCATGGCAACAACCAATACTCTTTAGACACTTGTAGGTATGTAGCTGTAGATAACTGAAGTTGGAAATTCATTTTCTTACAGGCACTACACACATTTCAAGCATCCAAGGACCGTATTTGACTACTGGATACCACACTGGACAGTACAGGTAACAGGGCCTTTCAGTCATTACATACAAAGTTCTACTACACAGTACTGAACTACTCTAGAGCCTCATCCTTAAGAACAAACCTTTGACCTGTAGAAGAGAAAAGTTTCTACACCCCGCTGGTCCCCTGCCACGTCATTATAAATTCCCCTGCCTCAAGCACAGAGGTGCAATTGTGCAGGTTGCCTCTTCAAACTCTAAAAGTACATTCGACGAGTCCAGGTCAACAGACCTGGCATGAGCTGAGGCTACCTGGATACCAATGACGTTCACTCACCAGTCAGGGTGTATCTGAGTAGAGGTCTCATAAGTCACAGCCTTGAGTGTTGCAAGTGACAGGTGAAGCTCTTAATTTGTCATCCCACCAAATTTTAGCCTCTGGTATATACCTCCCTAAGTCTGTCCATTTTATGAGAGCTGTTAACCTCTGATAACAAAGTTACTCTTTTAAAAGAATATATCACAGTGATATTCAGCAGCTTTCTGAACAAGCATGAAGAGCAAAAGTCAACGAAATATATATATATATAATATAAATTTAGATTTTGATTCATCCAGGAAGCATTACAGATGCTCAATGAATAAATTATGAGAACCTAGGAATGAACGGAACACCCATTTTAACAGAGTGCATTCTAACATCCCTAGCAGATTCTGCTTGGAAAGTGGCTGTGTATATCAGGCCTTGTTAGTGACCAACACCCCATATTCCTAGTGCTCTGACTTCCAGAACATTGTTTCTTACAGTTTCTTCACTAGATACTCACGATTTATTCGGGCTTTTTCTCCAAAACTAGAAGTGTTTAGGAATGGAAAAATGAATTGCTAATAATGAATACTTATAAAACTCTGAAAAATTACCTCTGTGAATTGATTGAGTTAATTGTGCTCGACCAGCTTTTTTCACATCGACGGAGAAATGTGTTTGTATATTTATCAAGCACAGGCCTGTCAATGAAGGGTGATGGGTCCATACTCTACTTAAGTATTTCACCCATGACCTCAAGGCTCTATGGGAGCATATAAGAATTATTAGGGCATGGATTATCTGCTGCTCTACTTAGGACTAGTCCTTTTTTAAAAGCCAATTCATCTTTTGATCTCCATTACTGCAAAAAAAAAAAAAAATCAGCTGGTCCCTTTCTTTATCCTGACCTACCCATAGACTTGTGCCCATCCAGCCTGCGATTGGTATAAGAGAAATCACTGATAATCCTTACTCAGAGGCACACTGCCTTTTCTGTGATCCCTTCACTATACACAGAAAAACAAAAACATGGGGGTTTTAGAAATTCTAAGTGTATAAATAGTAATTTCCTTTACCATGCAAGAAGTAAGCTAACCAAGAAATTCAAAGAAATATGGTTGTCTTATATTGTTTAGACCTAAGAGAGTAGTGTTATGACTCAAGTTGAGTGAAGGTCTTTGGACAAAGCAAATGAACAAATCCTTGGTTTCAGGAGAAGAAACATAGTGGCTTACGTGGAGAGAAAGTCAAAGATTCGTTCTATGTTTTCTCATATACTGTCCCACTAATAAAACCAGATTCAATTTGAAAAGATTTGGGAATGGCAGTAAATGATCCATTACATATGCCCACATATATGTGTGAGAGTAATAAAAAATGCATTATATATTATACATATTATATGTGATATAAATTTATATATCAAAATACTTCTATCAAAAAGAACAATAAAATAATTATTATTTTGAAAGTACTAAATAGGTCAGACCTTTCTAAACCAACTAATACTAAAACTTTGGCCTCCACAAAACCCCCATAATGTCTACTAATAATTAGATTTCTTTCACCTAGAGAACTTATGATTAATAACCCAGTATGATTATTTTCCTTTCAAGTATTTATTGATCATTCACTGTTCCAACTGATGCCATTAAACCTCCCTTCATAATTTTGTTGTCAAGATTAATCAGCTATTTGTTTAACTTGGATGGTTTGTCTTGATTTATGTTACTTGTGCCAGTGAGTAAATTAAATTTTAATTTAATTTCACAGAACTTGCACAGAGATGCTGGCTCAGCCAAGATGTTATCAAGGCAAAGACCTCATGTCAATTAACACGCACTTATTGAAAGACCACGAAAAAAGGAGACTGTAACTTATCTTTCCAATCAATCTCTCCTAATCAGGAAATCAAACTTTAGTCTGAACTGCACTCATAGGTACACACTGGCATACCCTTAAGTAGAAGGTAGTGGTGAAATTCTACATCTTCTTTCAAATACATGATAAGAACATTGAAGACCTAAATTCCCAATTTGATCAACCCACTGTATGCCTGTGTCGAAATATCACAGTCTCACATACATACACACACTTACCACGTTGATTTAAACATATGAAAGGACATAAGTCTAATCTTAAAAATCAATTTTAACTTTCAATTTGTTCCCTTTGCCTAAAATGTTCCTTTCACCTAATTTCTGCCCGGTTTTCGTCCTTTGTGTCTGAGCTAAAGGTCACCTCATCCATCAGCCAGGCCGTCATGAGAATCCCATTTCTTTCCCCTTTTCTCCCCAACTCCTCCGACACCACCCACCACACTAATTCTGTTTGCTGCATCATTTATCCCAATTAATAACCATGCGGTCCTCATTGGTCTCTCTGCAGTCCTCATTTGTCTCTCTGCCGCGCTATCTCTCCCCACAGGAAGGAGAGATCTGTGTGTTTATCTTAAGCAGCCAGCGTGGTGGCTGGCAGGGCAGCCCTCAGGATGGACTGGGTGCGGATGACATCATCCTCCGTGAGTCTCCATCACGGTCCTTTCTCAGGACTCTCAAAGACCAGCGGCTGGGAAGCGGCTCTGCTGTACATGCTGTATCCCATCCGCTCCCTGTGCGCCGCCGTTAAGTCCGCTTCCTTACAGAGAGAAGCGCACCCTTCTTAAATAATCGGCCCTGCTCCGGGAGTGTCAAGAGAACAGAGATGGCATCTACCAAATTCGGTCTGTCAGTTGCACCTGTCTCAGAATCTACACACCCCAACCTCCGGGTAAAGCGCAATTTTAGACTCGAAGGAAAAGCCTCATGTTAAGAGACAGATTCTCCACGGAGAGCCCCATACCCACCACTGAGGTTTCAATGCCCCTGGCCGTTTAGGAAGCTTCAGGGTCACCTCCCTGGTCTTTCCTGCTGTGAAGGCCACTTTGAATGAGCAGATCACAGAGACCTCTTACCTGGAATCCTTCCTGACTCTTGCTTTCTCAAAGGAGAACTCGGGGGGCTTGTTGAGGTCATAGGTTCGGGTGGTCGGCTCTGCAGACACTCCAGCCTTCGCCCCCCTCCTGCTGTGCAGAGAGACCAAGCCTGAGGCCTTGCGGTGAACATCCAGAGGCACTTTGTCCGGGGAGGCCTGCAGTGGGCTTCCTCCCTGCACGTGGATCACATCCTGCAGCTTGTTGAGCTGGACACACTTGCTCTGAAGCTCCTCCGTGAGCTCCGCGATGGCCGCAGTCTGCTTGGCCAGCTGCTCCCGCAGCTCCTTCAGGTGGTACTCCCGTTCCTGAAGCTCCGCATCCTTCCTCCTCAGCTCACGCTCCAGCTCCACCACCTTGCTCCGCAGGGTTTCGTTGCTGAGGCTCCCTGGCTGGCCATCTGGGTGCTTGGCGTGCTTGGGTTTCACTGAGCCATTTCCCATGTTGCTCGGGAACCTAGGGAAAGGCACAGAACTAGGAATGAGCAAGCGGAGTCCCACTCCCAGCAGCCCTCCCCTCTCCAGTCTGCTTCATGAACAGACACACAGCAGTCATCATCCTCTGATGAGCAATGATCTCCTCCAGTCTTACAAGGGAAAGCAATGGCAGCGCAACTCTATCCCTCTACGGAGAGCCGTTAGCATTTGGGTTCCTTCTTCCCTGTCTTTTAAGCAGCACAAGCAACACACCTGAGCATCCTCTATAGATGGCCCAAGTCACCTTCAGTGGTTCTCTCTGGACAGGTCTCAAAAGCATCCCAACAGGATGGGGATTTGGATGTCAGCACGGCAGAGGCTGGATGCAAAGGAGCAGCCACAGCGACAGAGGCTTGAAAGAAGTTAATAATGCCCACCACTCTCTTTCTGTTACAGTCCAAAAGAGCTCCCCTTTTAGAAATCACACATTTGCATTCCTCACAGGTAGTGGAAGAGCTAGTGTCCCTTATTAGCAGTTTGTTCTTGCCTGGCACAGTAGTGCGTGTTGCCTTTCTGACAAGGCTAGTTGTTAAAAACTTTGAACTGTGATCCCCAAGGGGGAAAAAAAATCAGTATGAAGTTTCTTCTACATCCTTCATGTTAAGTCCCAAAGCCAAGCTGTGCAAACCGTGATGGCCCATGTTATGAAGCTCTATTCTTTTATTAAGGGTATCTTCAAGGCTCAAAAGATAGCTCAGTGAGTAGAGCACTTGCAGCACAAGTGTGAGGTGCTAAGTTAGTACCCACAGGAATTCTGGGTAGACGTGGCAGCCTGCCTGTATTTCCAGTGCCCAGGACACAGAAACAGGACAACTGTAACAAGCTGTGTAACCAGACTACCCGAAATGATGAGCTCTAGGCTATGCAGAGAGGCCATGCCTTGATATATAAAGCCGAGATAAATTTACAACACTTAACATCAACTTCTGGCCTGCTAGGCACACACACACACACACACACACACAGCCTCACGAAGACCCCCAAAGTTATCACCAATCCAATGAGCCTCAGTATAGTAGAGGAAGATCAGGGGTTATAAGGGATAATTTTAGTTAATTTGTCGTTTTTTTTTTTTTAAGTTCCAAAGCTATGGATTTATTTTAACATTTATCATAGATTCAAAAGGCTGGCACTAATACGTTTTGTTTCATTCATAATATTACTTCAATGGAAATCGAATAAGTTTAGATTTACTAAGCCAATTCCACATAAACAATAGTAAATTTTTAAAAAGCATATAAGGGTTGGAGGGATGGCTTAGGAGTTAAGAGTGTCAATTGCTTACAACTACCTGTACCTCAAGCTACCGGGGATCCAGTGCCCCCTTCTGGCCTCCATAAGCATTGCACTCATAGGCACCTACACGTAATTTTAAAGGTGAAAAGAAAAACCTTTTTAAAAAGTAAATCATCTGCAGGTCATAAACTTATATAAGCAAAATCACAGCAACAGAGTTTGCACAGCCGAAGTATGGCAGATGTTGCCCTAACTAACTGCTCTTTGCACACTATACATTCTAGTATCAGGTGGCATCGTCTGGGGAACCTTACATCAACTGAAAAACATCTGGATTAATTTGGGTTTTATAGAATCAGGACAGAGGATCAAAACCGAAGTTTACAGACACATATTTTGCAACTCCCACCACCAGATTTCAAGTTCAGGGAGACAAAGATCTTGACTTGATTTCCCTGGTTCTACCAGATTAATTGCAGCCTCCACAGAGGCTGGCTAGATGCAAAAATTTTAAACAGATGCAACCAGCCAATGTATGCTGCCTAAGATCAGGATGGAAAAGGGAAGTGATACATCTTTCAACACTGAACCACTCCTCACAGGATCCTCGCTGGGAGCAGCCATTAATAAACATAAGCTGTGTGGAGTTGCCGCCACGGGATGCAGACTTGTAGCAGACATAACCTTTAAGCTTCTGTTCACCCGGCAGCATTTATTATTCTTCCCCATTAACATGACATAGAAAGATGGAGGAGAGTAAAATTTAAAGAAGTGAGCCTGGACAGACTTGTATCCGGAATAGGCAACTCAGAGGCTGATAGATGGAGACTTGAGAATCAACTTAAATGATATTCTGAAAGGTACTCCCAAAGGTTGCTGAAATTAACATGTGCACAAGTTTCTATCAGGCAGCCTTAAGCCATCTTCCAGACAGACTTTTTGGTTTGTGAACTAGCATTTTCAGCCAAGGAGAGATAAGTAGGGGAAAGAATTGACTTATAGAGAACATGGCAAGCATAAGCAGATTTAATATTAAGTTAATGACTCATTCCGTATTCACGAAACAAGTGTTTACTAAGCCCTGAATGTCATGCATTCTGTCGAGGCATAGCCTCACATGGATTAGCACTTGGGTTTGACAGTGAAAACAGTTCTAACACACTAACTATGAGAAGGTCTAAAATCATTTCTGTCCTATGAGTGGAGCAAAATCTGAACCAGCCCAATCATTTCACAAACCCAAAACACAATTAAGTGCAGAATGTTAAATCCTCCCAAACACCACCTTCTCTCTATCTTGTCTGTTCCACGGAGGTCACTTCAGAAGCTGTATAAATCTTGTGGGCTATTCAGAATTCCTAAAACATGGAGAAATGAGAGCAACTAACTTACCTTTCAAGTTGCTGAATTAAACAGGTTACTAGGCTATTCGAGGCTACTGTGGGCTCTCACTTCTCCTCTTTAAGTTTTGCTGCTACCCCTAAAGCAGGGTTTCAAGTCTCTGGCCATATAAAACTTGATCAGATTCATGGTGTGCGCTTCTTAGCTGTCACTAAGGTAAGTAATTTCTCAAATATGGATTGCTCACCACAAGGAGAATTGAGCTGCAGGGTGTTGCTTCATCAATCTAGCAGCTACAGGTTATTAAAATAACGTGACAGGACAGTTCATGATGTGATAAGAAATGATTTTAGAGATTAAAAGCCCACTTTCACCTGAGCAGCAGATTCAGGCTAAGGGAGGAACCAACCTGCCCTCTCCCAGCCCCCTGTAAGTTATGTGGCATCTCTGATTTCATTTTTGTGTCTATAAAATGGGTATATTATCTCCATCTCACAAGGGTCCTGATGAAAATCGTAAAGCACCCTGTGTGATGTGAGGCATGTAGGAGACGTCAGGTACATTGGGGTCCTTTGAGCAGTATGGGACTCAAGAGGGGTTCGCACATCTCCATAGGAGGAGAACACAGTTTCCTTTCTGTATGAGGCAGAAGTATAAGGAAGTGGCTGCCTTCCAGACAAGAGGTCTTTAAAGATGCAAATGTTGCCTTGTGGGAGTGAGACCTTACTCTTTGTGGACATCACATTGAGAAGATATAACATTGCAGAGCAGCAACAACAAAGCAGGAAACAAGCCCTGCCCAAAGACTGGAGGTGGGAAGACAGTTTGAATGACCACAAAAAATTGTATCAAGAATTTCTACGCCTCCTTACGCTTGGCAACTCCTTGTACTTTCTGCTTATTCTCACATACTGAAGTGAAATTCTTAAATCAAAAGGCTCACTGAGTTATCTTTGGAGGCACACAACATTCCTCCTGGCAAGGGGGTACACTCCGAAGTCAGGGAGTAGAGAGAGTGGGCCACAGCGTTCAGCAAGAGGAGAGGATAATTCTGGAGCCTCCATCATCAACTAATTCCCCTTCTGCAGAAGAAGTTGCTCACAGAGGGGCCAAGGGACTGGGAAGGACTTTAGGCTGATTCATACCTGGCAGTCAGCGTGGCAAAAATGTGGCTTTCTTGTCTGCCCTGGAGCAGTTTAAAGCAAAAGCTTGGTTCCTATCTAGATAATATTTGTTGCTTCCTCTATCCAAGTAGAGTGTGACAGAAATGCATCCACATGAACAGAGAGTACATGCAAGCATACACACACATACATACACAGATACACACTCACAAATACACAGAGATACACACACATAGAAATAGATACACACAGAGAGATACACGCAAACACAGAGATACAGAGACATACTCATAGAAGTCAACAGAGAGAGATTCACACAGAGACATGCATGCAAACACACACATGTGACAGGGAGGAGGTTACTAGCATATCTATAAACATGGGGTATGGTAAAGTGCTGGCAGGAACTAGAGAGCCAGTGTCCTTGTCAAAGCACTTTTGATTAACTTTCTATGTCTTCAGCTACTAGACTTCAGAGATAAGAACACAAGAGACATATTGACACACAGACAGACAGACAAATAGATAAAACATTTTATACATCATTTGGAATCCTTAGAGGGTCATATGACATAGACGATGATAAGAACTTAGCACTGTTCCTAGTGTATGGCATTATGGCTTCATAAATACTAAATAGTATAATTATTGTTTGCATTATTTACCCAATTGAGTGGCTTATCTCAACCAAAAAGAGTGTTAACTAAAAATTACACCAAATAAGGAAGCTATTAAAGGAGAATAGTCAGAGGTCTGACTTCCCCACATTGTGCTCACCACACGGCTACAAGCACTGAGAGCCCTAGTGAAATAATAGCCAAGGAGATTAATGAAACATAGCAGCCCAGAAGTGGACTCAAATTGTGCAGTCAACTGACCCTTGAAAACAGAGCAAAGTGAAGCTGACGAAGAAAGGGGCCCATTTAACACCCGCATGCAGAGAAAGGATGAAGTCACCTAAATCACAGACTTGACAGCTTTTACAAAATTTAACTTGAGAGCACATCACAGGCCTAAGCATAAGACATAAAACCATAAACCTAGAAGAGAGCATAGAAGAAAGGCTAGATGAGCTTGGATTCCATGGTAACTTTTAAAATAAAAGACTGCAAATAATTGAAAGGAGAGATTGGTAAGTGTGTACTTTGTTAAGACTGAAATCTCTGCAAAAGAAGAGAATAAAACAGTCTGGGAAGAAACTTAATAAAGGAGGTGTGTTCTCAGCACACAACAACTTAAACAACCCTGGAAAATGGGCAAAGGACCTGAGCAGATATATCACCTAAGATTTATAGAGAACAAAGAAGAAAGGGAGGGGATACAGTCAGCTGTGAGTAGATAACTTCAAACTAATTTGGCAGGGAGAAACTAAGACACAGTGGTCACAGTCCGCCACACAGAGCACACCAAACCTGACATGACAGGGGCTAACAGGAAGGTTGGTGTGAACAGAGGGCCTGTAAGGTGATATGGTCACCTCAGAAGACATGGTGGGTGTTTCTCACTAAGTATCTTACTTCTCTGTGTTTATTCAATGAATCTCAAGGCTTCCTCAAAACCTTCAGCTTTATTCACAAATGCTGCAAGGTTTGAAGCAACTATGTCCTGTTGGTTAACAATGAAACTCCAGTCCATCCATTAAACAGATTATTCAAGAATAAGAAGCACTAGCCAGTGAGAAGACATAGAGGAACTTTAAATGCATGTCGCTAAGTGAAGAAGCCAACTGGGAGACCATACATGCTGTATGGGTCCAACGGTACGGCACTGTGGGAAGAGGTGTGGATGAGTGTCTGCGAGCGAGAAAGGAAGTGAGGCACACGGAGTGTTTGTGACACTGCAGCTATTCTGTATGGTGCTGCAATGATAGTTACGTGTTATTGTGCACTTGTCTCAACCCATGGAATATACAGTGCAAAGGATAAACCCAGTGATAACTGATGGATGCTAGTTAGGAATATGTCCATATGGTCATTGGTTGTAACAAACACTGAGATAGATAGATAGATAGATAGATAGATAGATAGATAGATAGATAGATAGATAGATATCACTGCTGCAAGGTATTACCAACTTAGGACTAGAGAGGTGGCCCAGTGGTTAACAGCACTTGCTGAACAACCAGAGGACCAGGCTTCAGTTCCCAGCACCCACATAGGCAGCTCACCACTGGCTGTAACTCCAGATTTAGACTTCTGATACCCTCTTCTGGCCACACACACACACACACACACACACACACACACACACACGGCACACTGCACACAGATACACACATGCAAATAAAGAAAAAAATAATTTTAAAAATAAAATAATCTGTTTTTAATGTCTTTAGGAGCAAAGGAAACTGATGGGGGGGTTAATGTTACATAGGAACTGTACTTTTCCATAAACCTAAAACTGCCCTAATGTAGAGGGGCCACTAATTAGAAAACAGAACACTTATTATGAAATGAATGCAAGAAAACCTAAAGCCTAATTCACTGAAGAAATGGGCTAAATGTATGATGGGTGGAAGGAAAGTAATGAGTAATAAGCTTAAAAAAAGTAATATAGTGGAGTAAGAAACTGAAAATGCACATGCCTTATTATGGTATCTGGGTTTTAATGCAAGCCAAGTTCTTTTTCAAGCTGTGTAGTCATATCTGTCCTTTAGAAGATAATGCTCCTGGAATAACTATGAAACCAAATGAAGAGAGCTTCGGGGAGGTAAAACAAAGGCAATTGCACTAATCCAAGTAAGAAGTGCTTATGAGATTAAAGTCAGCCCAGAGTCTCAAACTTCTTGAACTAGAGAAAATACAGACCATCTCCATGGTAACTAGGAGGAAAACATTACTACAGAGGATTTCATAGAAGTGACGGTTACAGGTAACTGCAATTTCCTTTCCTTCAAAAAGCCGAATACATTATTTTTTAAATCATATTGGCAGTTTAGCTTTAGAATTGAAGGAGGGGGCTTTACTGGCTTCCTTGGGTAAAATGCTAAGATTATATAAAAATGACGCATATCTCTATGACACTATTTGCTTGCCTCTCCAGGGCTCCTTTAGAAAATAATTAACCATCACCGAATATCTAAATCCTTGCTTCTCCTCCTTCAGGCAACCCATACAGAGTTGACCCTGTGACAGCTAAATCTCCTATCAGTGCTACAATTAAAACCCTCTTTCCACCTGGCCTGTGACAGTGGACAGGAGGCTCAGTTGGGAATCTGCTGCTGCTGCTTTATCTTTCCACAGCATCTCGATTTCAAGAGTGCTTTCCCCTCAACTCACAACCACAGGAGCTTGTCATACTGAAGTTCCCGCCACCCCCAGCAGAATTCACATCATGAATTTTATGAATACTATGTATCCTGTACGCTAAGAAGTTTAGGAGCATTCCATTCAGCTCTTTTGGCAGGGTGGGAATGCCACACAAGCATATAAACAATAAATACAGAAATGTGGGCTGGGATGCACAAACCAGGACACGAGAGCCGATGGGATCTGAGTGGTGATGAGATGAAAGAGAGTAAGACTTCATGGTCGCCTTGTGGCAACTGGACGAGAGGTGATGCCATTAGCCAGAATGAGGAGCTGAATGGGAGATGGAGTACCAGTTCAACTTTAGACATGGCCAGAATGAGAGACGTGCAAACCTCAAGCATGGAAATGCAGTGAGCAGTATTAAACAAGGGACTAGAGAATCCAACGAAAGTGAGAAACTTAATGTGTAATGTGAGAAACATCTTAATGTGCAGAGGCAGTAGACAAATACGTGGGAACTGGAGAGGTTCCCAGGGATTGGTGATCACAGAAGGAACGACAGCATCAAAATCTAAGTGTTAGACGGGAAAGAAGAGTAGATCTGTGGGAAGACGCTATCTGTTAAAGTGAGGAGGGCTCCCCACACAAAGAACTATAGCCAACTGGGGAGGGCTGGGGTAGCAGCGGTGAGCCTCCCCAGGGAAGAGCACACCCACCTATTGTCAATGCCAAACGGCCAGCCCTGAAGCAAACATACAGGCAGCACTATATGGACTGAACTGACGTGTGTATCACATTGTATGATATATACCATACAATAACAATGAAAAATGAGGCCATGAATTTGAATATGGAAGGGGTATATGGAAGTTTCTGAAGGGAGAAAGGGAAAGAAGAAATATTGTGATTATATTATGATCTCAAATATTTTTAATGATTTTTTTTTAAAGTAGAGGTGATTGAAAGTCAAATTGAGGGTGGAGTCTCTAACTGTACGTACGTAAGACAATGCGACAGATAAGTCCCCATGTTTTGATCTTGGGCAGGTTGGAGAAAGGTGTTGTTTCCATTCTGTGTCATTCATTCACTCTGTGGAACACATTCCATGGAGCACCATCTACAGCGACCCTCCATGACACTGACAGAAGGAGGGAGGGGTCATGCAGAAGGAGTCTTATGGAGACAGGAGATGTACTGAGTTTGAGATGCCCGTGTGCAAACAAGATGGAGATGCCTTCTTCAGAGGTCAGACTGGAATTCACAGGAATAGATGAGAACACCCAGGGAGGTAAGAAAGAAATGCCTACATTGCTGAGTGTAGACAGGCCATGCCTGTGAATATGTAATTTGTGGGAGAAGAAGAGGGGAAGCAAAAACTGGAAAAGGATAAGAAAAAGTTGTAGGAAGGAGGGACACATGATAGACAGCATAGAAATAGAAAGTTCAAGAGACAGCAGCCTACAGCTCAAATCCCAGATGTGTCAAAAGAAACGAGACCAGAGGAGAAAGTACAGAGCTTAGCCATTTCGGAAGACGGTAGACCTCCTTTTAAAAGTCCCGTGGAAAGAGCTGATGCCAGAGTTGGGATTTCAGGATGGTATTAAAGGGGCATGCTGCGAATTTTTACAGTTGTAGAAATAAGAGTGCTGATAAGCCCAGGATAATGAGCCAAGGAGGCTAGAGAAAATGAAAACATGGGAGAAGAGGGGATAATTGGAAAACAACCCAGAGGAATCAGACAATATGATGCTACAGGGCTTGGCCAACAGTGGTGCAGCACGTGTCTTCTTTCCCTGTGAAGGGAGTCCTCATCTGACTCCCGAGAGAACAGAGGTCTGGAGTCAAGGACTGTTAAAGGATTAGGCGGCATCACCGCAAAATGTTGATTCTTAGTTACACCGTGTTGTGACAGAGAAGACAGTCTAATTCTCCAAAGAGAATCCCTCACTCCATCATCTCATTACCCCAGTGTGCAATACGCAACAGGAACATGAGCAGCAGCTGTTGTATATTCTGTGGGCTGCTCGCCTTCTCTATGAGCTAAATAGAAACTTGCAAAAAGAAGAAAAAAAAAAACGAGAAATGGTTTCTAGGCGCTTGTGTGTATGGGGGTGTGGCAGGGAGCAGGTGGATGTTACATTCTCTTTAAGAAAAAAAAAATGCCCTTTTCCTACAGAACTTTGGAAACACGATGAAGAGGCTGAAAGCCAGGAGTCATCCTTTCTATTGGTCCCCTGTGCCGGGTCTGTTCTCAGCTCTGGCCTCCCTGCTCTGCCTAGGCACTCAGTTCTTATCCTTGAACCTATTTCTTTTTCACTCATCTCCAAAGTGGCTGGTTTCTTGGCGTCCCTTTGCTCTTTTCCCTTCTTGCAGAAATGTGCAAGCGTCTCAGGGTGCAGACTGACAGGGCACCCAAACAAGTTTACACGCACCTGTACAAAAGTCCTTGCTGGAGCCCTGCGTGCCCCATAAGCTATTCAGACCTTGGAGAACAAAGCCAGGAGGGCATACCGTGACAGCACCTCTGAGCCCCCCAGCCCAGCCGAACCCAAACGACGTTGCAGCCACTCTGTGCTACAGACTCAACTGCTGTATGGGGCCACCGGCGCCACACGGAGAGAACGAAAGGTGCTCCCATATCCACACGCAAACAGGACGGGAGACCGGCTAGGTGGGGGAGAGGCACACACCGCGCAACGCACGCCGAGAAAGCACCCTCGTGTCCCCACTCCCGTCCCTCGCCGCGCGCCCCCTCGGGTGCCCGAGCCCCCCAGCCTCACCAGGCCGCCGGGTAACTTTCCAGGTGCGCAGCTCGTCCCCTCTGCGCGGCCGCCGCAGCGTCTCGGCGTCCTCCACCACGCCGCCCTCCTGCGGCCCCAGCCGGGCTCGGCTCAGCCCTGCGCCCGCCGCGCCGTGCGCACCGTGCGGGGGTCCGGGGCTGCTGGCGCCGCCGCTCGCGCGCGCTGCGTGGGAGCCGGGGACGCGGCGGGCGCGCTGCGGGCAGGAGCTGCGGCGGCGGCGACGTGGGTTGCTGCCGCCTCGCCGGTCCGCGGGGGCCTCTGCGAGAAAGGAGGCGCGCCGGAGGGAGGAGGGAGCTCGGCGGAGAGGAGGGACGGAGGAGGGCGGGGGTCAGCCCGGCGTGGCGTGGGAGAGCCTGGAGCCCGCTTCCTTGAAGGTGGGGTCACCCGCGCTCGCCGGCGCGAACCTGTACTCCGGAGCCGGCCTGCGGCGACGGCGACAGTCTGCACTTTATACCCCGAACCTCCGGAACGAGGCAACTTAAGTAGGGCGATAGCATCGTGGATACGGGCGGGCGGGTGGTTGGTTGTGTTATTATTATTTCTATTTCAAGTGTGTGGGCCGAGGGAGAGGAAAGTTAAGGGGGTGTTCATCATCGCCTTCCCTCTCTACCACTGTCTCCAGCCTGCCTCACTGCAGGCTCTTCTCTCTCTGCCTGGTTCACTCTCTGTTTCAGAGCGCGGAACTGGCGCACAGACCCTAGACTTGCTCTCCCTGGTGTCACAGAGGTGCCCTTCTATGGGACACGTGATCCAATGGCTGCTTGGCTGCTGCGCTCTCCTCCAGGACTCTGGAACCTTAACTCGCATCTAGGCAGCCCACGGTGTAAGATGTATGCTGGGGACGGTGGCTGAACGGAGTTTCAAGGGACAGAGATTAAGGGCTTTAGCACGGAGCTCTCTTGGTTATTCAAGCAGGTAATTTAATACTCTCCTGTGGCCTTTTAGACACAGTATCCCCGAGGCGTGCGTTCTGGTTTTCTAAATATAAACAGATACACTCACCCACTGCAGTGTGCTGCGCTCTGGTGTTGCGAGATCCCGCCGTGGCGAGTTCCCCTTTCTTCCTTCTCCCAGAGGAATGCCTGTGGCATATTCACAAGGACAGAGGCAGTTCCTCTGCAGAGCGAGCAGCACAGTGAAGGTCTATTCTTCGATTTGTATCCAGAGAACGTTACACCCCGGCTCCCCGGAGGTGTCACCACCCGGAGGCTGTGGGTCTCCTGTAACTCCAGCATGCGCTACTACCTACATAAACCTACATAGAACAAGGCCCCGTGTACACTTGTTGAATGGGGCCATTAAGTTTCAGAGAAGGAAGAAAGGTTGTTTGTTTTCCTACTAACTGGAGAAAAATCAGCCCGGGTTCCTTTTCTCAAGTCTGTACATTTTCTGCTGGCCTCCAATACCACCTAAACCAGGAAAGATGGGGAATGAAGAATTCCTAAGAAAAGGAAAAGTCCATGCAAAAATAATTAAGTCATAAGTAAAGTCGTGGTAAGAAGGGATTTTAAGTCAGACTTGACACATTGAGTCAAAGCTACCATTTTTAAAGACTACAAAAATAAAATTATAAACAAAAACATAGTAAGAGTAAATGTGTTTCATGAATCCTTTTGGTCCAATTTGTCAGCGGTGTAACTTTCTGTTCACTGAGGTAAAAGCTTGAAAACCACTGAGGGGTAACAGGCATCGACATAAAACTAGAGTTGAAGGGGAACCTAGGTTCCCTCCTCACAACCAGGTAGCTTTCTTTCAGGTCAGCTTCACTGACAACACAGAAACACAAGAACAACAGTCCAAGGATCAGGAAGGGGGTGGGGTGGGCAAAAGCCAAAGAGAAGAAGAGGAGGAGGAGAGAAGAGGGTCGGAGGAGGACTATTGCTTAAGAATTTGAGGCTCTCACTTGTTCCTTCTCAGGGTGCTTTAAGCATTCCCTCTGACTCACTCTCAGCACTTACTCCTAGAAATTCAATGGTGAACAAAATGAACTTCTCCTGTCAACTTAGACTCTAATCGAGTGGGAGAAACAGACATTGAACACGTAAGTACATATGTGATAAATACTATGAAAGAAAAAAAAATAGGACTATGAGGTCGTTGTCATGGGAGTCTGCCATTAATAAATAACTTAAGTAAAATGTCTGAAGTGATAAGGACATTTTATTGTTTCATGCAGCAAGAAGTCCCAAGGTCAAGAGGTTCTAGTTGGTCAATTCACCAACTGAGTAAGTCCAGGGAGGGTTGTGGCCTGTTTCTGTTCTTCTTTCTGCTATCCATAGCAGAGCAGCTGTATCCCTGGCCTGCCGCACCCATAGCTTCAGGACAGGAGAGGCTCTAGTTACGCAATTCTGACCCTGCCAGAAGGCAACACAGTGTCTTTTGCAAGAATAGGACAGTCTCTCCCAGAAGCTTCCAATGAGGCTTCTTTTCACCTTCCATTTCTCAGAACTGGGTCATGTGCCCATCTCTTAAAGTGTAGAGTGGTTCCAGTGGCACATTGATTGTTTCACTTGGGCTCTTCGGATTTGCCCCTGGAATCTTCGGGACCGAGGTCTCAATGAATGAGATTACCGAACAAAAGAGGAGAAGGTGACAATGATATTGAGTAGGCAGTGCCAGGCCTGCTAGACGAGCTCGGAGATACTTTCATTTCTGAATTAAAATAATGTCACTCAAACTTAAGATGAGTCAGAATCTGACACAGTTGAGGAGGACGCACCCGGCAGCAGAGGAAATCCCTCCTTACCCGTATGGAAAAGGACTGCATGTGATTTTTCACTTAGGCCTTTTACTGCACCCGGCAGGTGGACCTCAGGAAGCAAGTTCAAAGACTTAAATCACTCCTGTCACTGAGTTCACAAAGCTAGGAAGCTTGAGTTCTCCCATCTAATCAGAGAGAGAGAAAAGTCATCATCATCCATTGCCTTTTCTCTGCCTTTGACAGAGGAATGCAGGTCACCTCTAAGCTCCTTCTGAGATATGTCTTTGGTCCTTGTTTACAAAAACTAGACGTTTTTGAACAAACCCGCTCAGCCTGGGTGTGTCTTTATCACATTTGGTTCCCTTGTTGTCCTTTAAGCCTTGTCAGGAGAGGACATGATACCAACTCTCAGGAGTAGCCTACAGTGATAGGGAGAATAAAGGCCCAACCTTCTCTTACATACACACAGCTATAAATGTCCCAGTGCAGCCACCATGATTTACAGAAGTCTCAGTGATACCTACGTTTTCCTCCTGAATAGAACCACATCAGAAGCTGAGCTGAGAACAGGTTCTCATGGTGCTTTCAGACTCCCAAGTACCTAGACCACTAAATTTCTTCCAGCTGGAGTTCTCTTTTCCTGGGATGAATTTCCACAGAGGAGACTCTGGAGATGCATCACACACAGACTCCTTACACTCCTTCCCCTTCCGACAGGATGAGCTCTGTGCTGCTAGAATCGAACTCCAGCTTGGAGCCCTCCACATTCAAGATAAGCGGTCTTCTAGATCAGAGGATCTGGGATTGAAAGAAACAGAACTAGAGTTCTACTAGTTCACATCTGTGTCCTCTCATTTGCCAAGTTTCCGCCCATCTCCTGCAACTGCTTCCTTTCCTGCTGTACTCATTCCCTTGTTTCCAAACAGGGTTGAAACTTAACTCCTTGAACAGCCATTCCAACTGGTAAGGTTAGAGGCCTTGGCCACTGTGTCTTCTTTCTTTTGGCTTTGCCAAATCCTAATCTGGGAAATAGATGAGGTGCCCTTGGTGCTTTGGTATCTGGGTTCCAGCATCGCTTGGCATGATAATACAGCCAGGCAACTGATCTCACCAGTTTCCATGCTGTAGAACTTCCGGGCTGCCCACACTGCTGTTCACTTCCTCCTTCAAGCTTGACAGGAGCACAGTAACAGTCTCTGGCACCGCAGCAGTACAGGGTTCCAAGCTTCACACGCTTGTGGACCGTCCCTCCTCTCCTTCTAGACTTGAAAATAGAGACTCTGTAGAATGCATCCCTACAGTTCCATAAACAACCCGGTTCAACAACTCTCTTTGTCATTTATAAAAATAATTTTGACAAACTGCTTCTTACATTCCCTTAAAAATATATTCACCAAGATAACAGAAACCTGAAAGAAACATCTACACAAAGTGTTCCTGTTTCTTCCTTGAGAATGAAGAATTACTATTTCTAATGTCACACAAGCTCCCAAGCCCAGCACTAGGATCATTGCCTCATTCCACCCTGACCTTACTAAGGGGCCAGTGACCTCTCATTTGCTTTATTTGCCCCTCTGATTCAGGTGAGAGGGAGGGTGAGCTTCATGGACATTAACTACAGCACATTCGGACTGTTTTCCTCTTTCGGCATCAGCTAGAGCCTCCTTGTGTCCCCTATCTGAACTGGCCAGTGCCTTGCCTTTGCTCATCATCTCCTTTGAGTACTCAACTTCTATCCAGTCCGAAAGATCCCGGGACTCTGTTCCTAACCCTGGCCCCCTTCCTATCATCAATCATCGCCTGTAGATGTCTGGACCTCCATCATAAGCCCCTAGCACCACACTTTATCTCAGCCCCTTTAATGACGTTTATCATTTTCAGCTTTGTATTATCACTGTCAGTCTATGCTTGCACCTCTGTGGTAGACTGTGACCTGCTAAGGACGTGGCTAACAAGTGCTTCATCTTTGCCTCATCTCAACTAATACATGCAGCCAATCTGACTCCAAAGCTGATATAGTCATAAATTATCACTCAGGATAATTAAACTTAAGCTTCCGAGATTCAGTGGAACTTGGGGAATGTTCTTTATGAAATAAAGACAATGGATTGAAATGATAATTACTTAATTTAAAAGTTAGCACTCTGCCTGATTAGAAATCAAGAGAAGTACATTTTCCTATAAAGTACCAAAAATATAAATTAATTTAGTCATGTGGTTTTGTCTACATTGATTTTTATTAAAAAGTGTTTTTTTTTTTTAAAAAAAAATAGTTTTGGATGTGCATTAAATAACTGAATTGTTTGGATGTAAAGTATCCCTCTAAACAATTCGGGTATTGAATGATGGGCCAGAAGCTG